CAGGAGCCCTGTTCAGATTTGTCAGGAAGGACTGTGGCAGCAGGTGGGAGTAGTGGGAAAATGGTCTAGTCCCCAGAAGGAGGGCTGGTGAGGGGTGGACAGGATCTCAGTGTTCCCAGTCAATGCCTGAAGCACTTTGCATGGTGTCTTAGTTATCGACTGCTGAGTAATGAACCAGCCCAAAATGTAGTGACTTAAAACATCAAAGATTTATTACTCCTCCTGATTCTGTGAGTTGACTAGGTGGTTCCTCTGCTGGTGTTGCCAGGGCTTTGTTGCATTCAGCTGGAGCCTCAGCTCAGCTGGAAAGTCCAAGATAGTTTCACCCATGTCTGACTGTTGGTGCTGGCTGTTGGTTGGGGGCCTTGGCTTTTCATGTGTCTGCTCATCCTCCAGTAAACTGGAATGACTTCTACATGGTGATCTTAGTGCTGCTTCTCAAAAAGGAAAGGGTAGAAGCTGCAAATGCTCTTGAGGCCTAGGGTCCAAAGCTCAGGAAGGACTGTGGCAGCGGGTGGGAGTAGTGGAGAAAGGGTCTAGTCTCCAGCAGGGGGGCTGGTGAGGATGGATGGGGTCCTGGGGCTCCCAGCCAATGTCTGAAGCACTTTGTCATATCCTGCCTCATGTTATTTACTCCTGCCATAGCCTGTTGGTCTAAGTAAGTCCCAAGGCCAGCCCTGATTTATGGAGATGTGGATAGAGAAATGGGCTCTTCCTCTTGAAGGGAAGACCTACAAAGAATTTGTGCCCAAAGTCACTGTGAACAAATGGAAGAGGAAGGGGTAAAGCACAGACTGACAGTTTCCCGAATGTGCACGCCTGACCATCATCCTGTGCTGCCTCCATGAGAAACTCTGACATGGCTGTGTAGCCAGCAAACTCTTCACTGATTATTTACCAAATGTTACTAACCGCCCCACCCCTACCTCCAATGGATTCAAATGCAGAGCTGGGAATGGAGCATACAGAATTGAATGGGGTCTAGTACTTGATGCTCCTAAGGAAGATGAGAGAGCCAGCCTTACCCAAGCTCTCTCAAATGTTCTTCATCTTACTCACTGGTTTTAATGCTAACTAGGAAACCAAGTAAGAGGGTTAGCCCTTGGAAGGACTTCCAGAGGAAAGTGAAGCCCCGCCGGAGTCCCAGTCTGTGGGAAGTAAACTAGGAGAAGCAAGGACAAGCTTAAGGCTTAGCTCCTGTGCCAGGGGCTATGTATAAGGTTTGATTCCCAGCCTTCTCAAGTTCATACACAACTCACACTACTCCTTGCTCCTCATGCTCTTTGAAGCCCAGAATTCAATGTTCAGCACACACTGAGAGCTCAATCAATGGCTTTGAATGATCCCTATGCAAGCTGAGAGGAATATCAACGTATGTTTTCTCAGACATTCCCAAGAGTAGCCTGACCCAAATCCAAGATTATCTCCATGGCCTCCCTTTTTACATCAACTTAGAGGATGCTGTTGACATTATATATTTGCATGCTTACTATGTTAAATAATAATTTACTGTCAGGGAACCAGAGGCTCTCAAATTCTCTTCACCAGTTATATAAGGATCAGCTGAAATGCTAGTTTAAAATGAAGATTTCTGGGCCTCTACCCTTTACTGGCTGATACAAAACTGTGGGACTGAGCCTAGGAAGCTGAATTGCTAGGCAGCCTGTGGGTTATTCTTCCTAAGAGTCTGAGGATGTCCAGCCTCTACAGAACGTCACTTCTTCCATAACCATGTCTGCCATCGATGCTAAATAGACAGAATCCCTCCTTACTATCATCAGCTGTAACATGTGCTTGTCACATGATTTAAAAACAAATCCACCTGTTGTAAGTCACAAGTCACTCCCACAGAAGTTAGATCCCAATCAGGGAACATGACGCTCAGTATGTTTATGTTCCCATGACACACACACACACACACACACACACAACTAAAACAGGAAGTTGAAAATAAAACTTTAAGTTTTCTATGTGGAACCATAGACCAAATTCTGACCCTGTCGCTCTCTGCTCATGTGCATTAGTCATAGGAGGTCATGGAAAATCATCCTCATTATAAGAGGCTGCTCATCAGTCATTACCCCCACACCCTGAGAGAGAGCCAGAGCAGGTGACCCAGTATGCAAATTCAGGGAAGTTTGGTTCGGAGAGCTCACATCGCTCCTAACACAAGAGATGGAGGGTTTGGACTCCAGTAGAGGTGGGAGGTGCTTTGCCCAGGGCAGTGTAGTGTGGAGTTAGGAATACGTTTTTTGATGGTGCATGTTCAAGTTAGATAATGCTTCCTTCCCTGTTCTGGAGGTCGAGTCCTCTTGCATATAGTGTTGTCCTTTGGTGCAGCTTTGTTTACCATATAGATGGTACCCTCTGTGCCTGGCCAGTCACTTGCTCAAAGGGGTGGGAGCTCTTGCTCTGAAGAGATCCTGACCAGAGAATATGTGTGGCAGAGCTCATTGCTACTCCCCGCACACCCTGATGGCAGTAGGAGACACTTTCCCTTTATCAGTGTTCTTATATGGCACCATATTGTGAGCTCCTAAGGGGTAGGGAGCTTGGCATTTTTATTTCTACACAGAGAGAGTCTTGCTCACAAAATGACAGAGATATAGTCTGAGAAATGGGTCATAAGGCAATTTTGTTGTGTGAATATCACAGAGTGTACTTACACAAAACTAGATGGTACAGCCTACTACACACCTAGACTATATGGTATAGCCTTTTGCTCCTAGGCTACAAACCCACACGACATGTGACTATACTGAATACTGTACATATGCAAGCATAGAAAAGGTACAGTAAAAATATGATACTATAATCGATGGGACCACCGTTGTGTAGATAGTTCATCACTGACTGAAACTTCAGTATGCAGCAAGATTACTCTCATAAACGTACACAAAATGATTGGTCCACCTTATATAGACATGCAGGGTTTCCACTGCAAAACTCTAGAGGGCACCACTCACATGCTGACATCACAGAACTGAATATTTACTATAACATTATGACAGTTGGCTATAAAGTGCCTTGTACTAAAAAAAAAAAAAAAAGCTTTCTCATAACTCATAACTTTCTAGCTGATGGGAATAAAATCAGAATAGGCAGCCTTTTGTTAATTCACTCCAAGGAGCCACAAGTTGTCGAAGTGAACAGCACAGCCAGGTCAGGAAATCCATACAAGCCTGATCTTTATCAGGAGGGCAATATGGAGTCACCATGGATAATTTCAAGCAGGGGAGTGACATGATCAGATTGACCTCCTAAAATAGTTGCTCTGGCTGCCGACTGGAACATGGATCATTGGCACAGCCACTCAAATGGTTTCCCTGTTCCAGTGGGGCTCACCCCCAGTCCAGGTGAGGGATGATGGGTGTCTAACAATTCTTGCAGGAGATTTGACAGAAGTTAATAGATTTAAGGCATCTTTGGGAGGTAGAGTTGATAGATTTCGGTGATTTATTGTAGGCAGAGTGAGAGATTCATTGTGAAGGTTTCTAGTTTTGGTGTCTATTGGTAGATGTCTCTACTAATGAGTGGTGATTCTGTTGATTCACTGACATAAGGAATGCTGGAGAAGAAAGTGGTAGTTTGGGGGTGGTGAGTGTGGAAATGACAAGCTCTGCTTTTGCCTGTGTTGAATTTTGAGGTGTATGCGAACATCCAGGTAGAGGTTTTCAGTGGGCAATTACATATACAGACCTGGAGTGCAGGAGAGAAATTTGGAATGGAGATACAAATTTTGAAGTTTTCAGCAGAAAGATAATTGAACTTACAAGGTGAATGAAATGAAGGGAGAGCTTAGTTTAAGAGAGAAGATGGCCTAGGAGAGAGAGATATTTGAGAGGCAGGCAGAAGATGAAAAGCCTTCAACAGAGGTTTAGAAGGAGAGGCCTGGAGAGGCAGAAGGAATGTTAGGAGAAGCAGAATCGTGGAAGTCGTGTAAGAGGGCTTTAGGGTGAGAGCTGGCAGTGTCGAACACTATCAGTAGATCAAGTCCAGAAAAGTTTGAAAAGTATTCATTGGATCTAGGAGCTAAACACTCCAGAGTGCTGTCAGGAGAGTGACTGAGCAGAAGGGAAGATGAAGGGTCTTCAGGAGTGAGTAGAAAGTGAGAACACAGCGACAGTGAGTACAGAGAGTTCTTTTAATAACTGGCTGTGAAGGGGAGGAGAGAGAGAACGGTGTAGCTAGAGGGAGTCATGGGGCTAAGGGAAGAAACTGTCAAGATGTGGCAAGTTTCAACAAGTGTGAAAGCTGATAGGAAGGAGCCAATGGGGATGGACAGGTTGGAAAAAACAGGGCGAGGTTACAGTATGGGTACATGCATGAGCTCTCGAGCAAACCTGCCTGGATTCAAATTTCTACTCTGTTATTTCTCAGCAGAGAATATTGAATGAAATTGGTGTACTCAAATTACTTTTAAAGTTGTAAGTGTAGTAGAATCATGCTTTTGTTTTTTTCTGATGAATCTGGGAGCAAATAAACATGTCAGTGGTTGGCCAGGTGTGGTGGCTTAATCCCAATACTTTGGGAGACTAAGGTGGGTGAACCACCTGAGGTCAGGGGTTTGAGACCAGCCTGGCCATGTCAGTGAAACCTATCTCTATTAAAAATAAAAAATTAGCTGGGTGTGGTGGCATGTGTCTATAGTCCCAGGTACTAGAGAGGCAGAGGCAGGAGAATCGCTTGAACCTGGGATGTGAAGGTTGCAGTGTGCCAAGATCACGCCACTGTACTCGAGCCTGGGCAACAGAACAAGACTCCATTTCAAAAAAATAAAAAGAAAAAGAAAAAAAAGAGAAAAATGTAGGTGATCTTCTTTATACTTAGTAATAAATCTTTTCAGTATTTATACCATTAAAAATTTATACCATTAAAAATATGAAAATGCTTTTTCAGTACTATTTCCATTTATCTATTTATCTATGTTTCACGTATCTATTGCTGTGGAATAAACCACCCTTAAGCTTAGTGGCTTAAAAATAGAAATCATTTATTTTGTGCTAGCTTTGGCAGCATATTGACTAAAATTGGAACAATATAGAGAAGTTTAGCATGGCCCCCACATAAGGATGACATGGAAGTTCATGAAGTATTCCATAAGAATTTTTGTTGTTGTTGTTCCGAGATGGAGTTTCGCTCTTGTTACCCAGGCTGGAGTGCAATGGCATGCTCTCGGCTCACCGCAACCTCCGCCTCCTGGGTTCAGGCAATTCTCCTGCCTCAGCCTCCTGAGTAGCTGGGATTATAGGCACGTGCCACCATGCCCAGCTAATTTTTTGTATTTTTTAGTAGAGACGGGGTTTCACCATGTTGACCAAGATGGTCTCGATCTCTTGACCTCGTGATCCACCCGCCTCGGCCTCCCAAAGTGCTGGGATTACAGGCGTGAGCCACCGCGCCCGGCCTAAGAATTTTTTTAAAGAAAATATTTATTCTGCTTTGTGAATCTGTAATTGGGCAGGCCTCAGTAGGGACATCTTGTTTTCATGCCACTCAGTGTCAGCTGATGGGAGTCCAAGGGTGGGAACTGCAGTGATCAGATGGCTGCCTTACTTGCAGGCCTGGGGTCTGGAGACTGATGCTGGCTCTGCTGGAACCTCAGTGGGATTGTTGGCCAAATCATCTTTGCTTGGCCTCTTCATGACACCTGCGCTTCCCCAAAATATGGCAACTGAGATTTGGGAGTGAGGGCTGGGAGAGAGAATCAGGCAGAAACTGCATAACTTTTGATGACCTGGCTTCAGGAGTCATCCCATATAACTTTTACTTCATTCTATTCACTAATGCCAGTCTGCCTGCAAAGGGAGGAAAATCATACTCCACCTCTTATTGAGAAAAGTCTCAAAGAATTCATGGACGTGTTTTAAAATCAGAACAGCAACAAATTGCCAATTAAGACAACAAATTACAGGTTTCATTTTCAGGGTTTTTTCTACAGTACATTGAAATATTTTCTGAAACCTTTGGTGTCTTACACTGATTAGTAAACACAAAAAATTTTCGTTCTTAACTGGATGTTCTTTTGTTCAAATCTTTGCAATGACATATTTATCTTAACTAGGAACAGAAAAGTTGGAGATGGTGGCTGGGTACCGTGGCTCACATCTGTAATCCCCGCACTTAGGAGGCTAGGCAGGTGGATCACCTGAGGTCAGGAGTTTGACATTAGCCTGGCCAACATGGCAAAAGTCTGTCTCTACTAAATATACAAAAATTAGCTGGGCTTGGTGTTGCCTTCCTGTAATCCCAGATACTTGAGAGGCTGAGGCATGAGAATCACTTGAACCTGGAAGGCGAAGTGTGCAGTGAGTCGAGACCACACCACTGCACTCTAGCTGGGTGATAGGGTGAGACTCTATCTCAAAAACAAACAAACCAAAAAGTTGGTGATGGCAATGGATATTCATACAGACCTTCAAATGCACAGAAAACAAAGTGCTAGTCTTGAGGCTGTTCTCAATTTAATGCCTCTCAGATTAATTCTTTGAAAAAATTTATGTTGCAGAACAACTGAAGCTATGAGGGAGTGGGGGCACCTATATCAGAGATCTTTTTGTTTGTTCATCACAAAGACTAGAAGCACTGTAAGTACTATTATTTGTACACTAAGCAACAGCTCAGGCCTTTGGCTCTTAAGATCTTCTCAGCCGAAATGAAATAAGAACTAAATGCAGTTTTATTTAATAATAGTGGAATAAAGAACATAGAACATTTTTCTTCTCCTTTGTGTAAACTTGGTTAGGTAAAGTGGGTGTACAGTAATAACAACACTGCTTCACAGGCTTCCTGTGGAGGTGGGGGGCAATTGAGTTCACCCATGCACTCCAAGCCCTTAGCATGGGGCCAGGCACACCGAGGTGCTGACTAAGGGACTGAGGATGATGGATGATGTGAGAGCCTTGAGGAGGCTGAATGGGACACAGAGCAAATGCAGAGGGCACAGCCTTGGTTAGGAGTGGGCTCCTGCTTCTACTGAATGAGAGAGAAGAGGGAAAGCATAAAGAGAGTTTCAACAGGTTTTAATGTGGGCTGATGGGGAACTGAGAAAGTGTCCTTCTACCAGTGTCGGTTACTTTGCCGTACATGAGGAGAGGGGAGCTGGACAAGGAGATTGAAGCCGGTGGAGAAGACTGGAGATATTTTCTGTGGAAATGGGTCCGCCAGCTCATGATAAAAACATAAAAGGTTTGCTAAGCAACCATGAGGCCAATCAGTTTTGGATATCATCAATGTGCAGAGTAAGGATCTGTCACGTTCTCCTGAAGGGCTCAGTGGCTTTGGGTTAGGACCTGGGAGGGGGGACCTTGCACAGATCCAGAGCTTTGCCTCACAGTGCAGTGGGAAGGCAAAGGAGCCAAGCAGTGGAGAACGTTGATGAAAGGAGTATAAGTGAGCAACGGAAAGAAGTGAAGACCTCCAAGAAGGAGGAGGTAGAGCAAAACTGAGCAGGTTAAAGGACTGGAGGTTTCTGTGTGGTTAAAATTCCTGAGCAGTGGGACTAATGGAGAGAGAAAGAGAGAGAGAATGCACAAGATTGCCATCGGCTGTGGCCAGAGAGTAGTATGTACTTTTTACAGAGAGGTCATGGTGTTAGTCATCCAAATGGACATTAAGATCCCCTGGGGATTAGGACGAGGAGGGCTTGGTTCTCGTGTCAAATATTTAATAAATAGGGAAGAATGACTAGGCAGCCAGTAGCCGAAAGCTACAAAGAGAGATGTAAGATGGTAAAAACGTTAAAGGACTGAGGCTTTTGTTTGTTTTGGTTGTTTTTTTTTGTTTTAAAAAGGCTGAAGAAATCACAGTCTGAAAACGTTAGTGGAGAGATGACCCCGTGCTGGCCCTCTGATATCCAGATGGTAGGGCATGAGCTCCTTTTCCTTCAGAAAGACGCAGGGGAAGCATGGGCCGAGAGGAGAGCCAGGTTTCAGCCAAGGCGAGAATTGAGGAAACAATTAGAAAAGAGAATGGAAAAATATAGGGAGGTTCATTCATTTAAAAATAACTCTTAAGCACCTGCATAATATTGTTTTGGGCATTGAGATGCATCTTTGAATGAGACATAGTAGGGAATTTACATTCCAGTGGTAGGAGACAGACAACACGCCTGAGCAAATACATACTCAATATAATTTCGGATAATGATACAAGTTGTGCAGAAAAAGAAGAGCTATTAGATGGAGAAAGTATGCACAGAAAGTGGAGATTTGCTACAAATGTATTTTCCAAAGGAAATGGAGGGTGCTGTGGGAGTTGTGTTGACTGTAAGCCTAGATAGATTTTACTGGATTAATGCTTGCTGGAATAAATAGCTCTACTAAATAGCTGGCAGAAAAAAAGCACACTGGGCTTTGCAAATCGTCACCGTGATGCATGCAATTTTGCAGAACTGCCAGGGTCTCTCACAGCAACTCATTCCCAGTGTGGTCCCCTAGGGAAAGCTGTGGCCTGTGCAAAATCTCTCCTACCTGCATGACCTCAGGGCCAGCAACAGACAATTGCAATCCCTGCCCACGGACTCCATAAGTCAGGGAACCACTGGAAAGCAAAGCAAACACTTGCTCACTTGCTCTGTGGGGGTTGGAGGAAGCCTCTGAGGCACTTTGCATGCAGCTCAGGGAGCAATGGCATTCTCAGACTGAGCAGAGGGAAGTGGCTAGCACTTCAGACATGACACTCATTGAGGCTTGGAGGAAACTCTTTTTTTTATCACAAAGAAAGGGAAGTTTTACTTCACTGATGGTTAGCAAACATAAGAAATGTACATTCTTAATAGATCTCTAAATAACGTTAGAGGAAGACCAGGAGCAATACTAAGGGGATAGAGCTATAACTGACTGGGGTGAGAACTGGTGGCATTTGGGAAAGAGTCCTCATTCCAGGTGGCCTCAAGGTCAGCGTCTGGGCTCCTGTGATTCTGTCTGATGCTTTGATTGGCCATGGCATTGGAAATGCCACTTGGGCTCAGATTGGTACCCCCCTTGTGTGGTTTGGGTTTTTTTTTTTTTATTACATATCCTATAGTCCTCTTTCCTGATTCTCTCTTAACCTGTGGCTTTTCTTGGGATCATGAGGAAGATATTATTTTCTAACTACAGTTAGTCTTTCCTTTTTAAAATGACCAAGTTAATTCATTAATGCCTTATTTATTCCTACCTTTTGAGCTTTCATTATATTCAAGACACTATTGTAAAAAATAAAGACTTAAAGATAAAAAAATGTTATAACTCAGCCAGCAGAGAGAAGACATAATTTTTGAAAGACACTAAATATTGGGTTTGCCTTGACTCCACACTCTCTCCTTCAGGCATCTCCAAGCTTCAACCATAACTGACAGATCTTTACGTTTAATGCATTTTTCTCTTCTAACCTCCAGGTTTGTACATCCAGCTTCCAACTGGACACTTCATTTGGCATCCCATCTGCATCTCAAACACAACACAGCTCAAGTGGAATTAACCATCTCCACAGCTGTCCTCAGCATCAATCTGTTCCCCCTCTTCTTGTATCATCTTTCTCAATGAACGATGCTATTGCTGCCTGCCGGTGATTTAAGCCTTTAAATAATAAGATCCTTGATCCCTACTGCCATTCTACATTCAATAGTCACTTCCCATATTAAGTAGTCACTAGGTCCTATTGAATCTACCTCCTAAATATTTCTAGAGCTTTCTCTCCATCCTCATGGTCAGCACTGTGGCTTAGACCCTTGTCTCCTTATCTATAGGTCACTGGGCAACATCCCAGCCAGTCTCCTTACCACAAAGTCTTACCTCTATTTTTTTTTTTTTTTGAGTTTAGGAGCAGAGGTTTGATAGGCAGAAGAAAGAGAAAGGAGAATAGCTCTATCTTGCAAAAGAGAGAGGGGCTCCCGAATGGGGATTCCCAGTCTTGCTTTGTTCTAAAGCAGGTCCACACTGCTACAACTGGATGGCACCCTACCTTTTCTTCAATGGCCTCACATGCTTGTAACACAGACAAGACCACTTCAGATTCTTCGTCCTGCCAATCTCCAAGTCATCTGTCCATTGCCCTTCCAAATCTTTGCACATGCAGCATATTTGATAACACCCATTATGATTACGAGGTTTTTAAAGATTCTCC